GATTAAATTTTAAACCCTCAGAAACCACTATTAGAACACATTCTTTAATCAAACAGGCCACATCTACCAAAGCACCTATGGTTAACGTCTTATTTAACAGTGAATACTGAACCTTTAAGTCCTTAAAATTCCTTAATCCTAAATCTAAGAGGGGAAAAAAAAGCCTTTTCCCTAAATTCCAATGGAGGGTAAGCATGACACAGGTTCACCTCTGCATTAGCCACCTAAGCAGGTGATATAAGTCAAGAAAAAGAAATGAATGCACAGTCTGTAAAATGCAAAAAGAAACTGTCATTCTCAAACAACTAAAATATGACATCAAGAAATACAAGTCAGATATAAAAATCAATTGTACCTACATATCAGAAACATAATACTTAAGATAAAATGTTTATAGTCATTTGCCATTAAATTAAAAAGCATCAATATTTGGGAATAAATTTAACAAACAACACATAATACCTATAACCTAAAACTTTTTTAGAAGATTAGACCTTAAAAAATGAAGAGAGGACTGAGGACAGGGCTAAACTGGTGAAGTTCTCACCATGCAAGTGTGAGGACCAGAGCACAGATCCCTAGGACGAAGTAAAGCTGAGCCAGATAGCAGTCTGTAATCACAGTGCTCCTACAGCCAGATGGAAGGTGACAAGAGCCCCAGAAGCTCACAGGCCAGCTGGCCTGAGTACACAGAGGTGAACAAAAGACCTGTCCTCAAACAAGGAGGGTGAGACTCAACACGTGACCTGTCCTCAAACAAGGAGGGTGAGAGAGAGATTCAACATGTGAGCTGACACACGCGCTCCACTAGTCATTAATGTAATGACTGAACTTTATTTTAATACAGGATCTACCAGGACAGGAAAAGCCAAAGCACTTCTTATGTACATATACTGTAGGGCCAAAAAATCATTTATTCAGAATATACCAATAACATTCAACTCCTACTTCCATAATCCCATAATCCCAAAATGTTTATTTGTTCAAAGAATATCCACGTGATATGAAGCAAGAGGAAAAGTTACTGAACTTTAAGACTTAACAGGAAACATAAAATGGAGCCACAATAGCCACTACACAGGGACCAACAGTGGCTTAGGTTAGGAAACTCAGACCACTGTTACAGGGAGTATGAGGACATTATTTGACACTGTCTACTAAAGCTAACTATGCCTACCTCAGAATGCAGGATCTGCTCCTAAGTTTATATTAAACATAAATAAATGCTTATACCTCAAAGATGTAAATAAGAATAGTTCTGACAGCATTATTCTGAACAGCCAGAAAAGCCATAAGAAACTTAGCACTCAACAATGATGCTATAAATTTAAAACATGTGGTATACTCATATAAAGAAATCAATACTAGGAGCTAGTGGGGACAAGGACACCGAGCCAGGGTGACAGGTAGTGGGTAAGGGCACTTCCTGCCAAGCCTGATCCCAGTTCAATTTCCAGAAGTCCCAAGATGGAAAGAGAGAGATGACTCCCCTAAGCTGCCTTCTGGACTCCACATGCATGCCATGGCACATCCACACACATAGATATGCACAAGCACACAGAGAGAGCAGAGATGCATACAAATAAATAGATAATAAAACTTGAACAGGAGAAAAGAAAAACAAGGGTGTATCCTATAACTATAATGTAGAGAACAGAAGCTAGAAACAGTAATATATAGTAAATTGTAGAGACAGTCCTTGTACTATATGGAAGTATCACCTCAATAGAAAAGCTGTTGGCCTAGGTGGTGGGAGTTCCAGCAAGGAGAGAGGAATTCTGGGATGGAGTCAGGCTTGGGAAGAGACTGACTGATGGAGACACACACGTGAAACTGGGAAGAGGCAGCCAGCCATGTGGCACACATAGCCTGGAATAAATGGCTAGTTGGGGAACAAACTTATGGCCTAGGTATTCACTCATGAAATGATGCAGTCTCAGAATCTTTATTTTGGGAAGTTGGGTGCAGGTGAAAAAGCCTGCGGTTACAGTAAATAATTCTATTAATACAGAACTAAAAATCAGGTCACATAAATCTAGGATAGCAGAGGGCTAACAAGGAACTGGCATTCCATTTAGTAACAAATATTCTACAAGATTACAAAAAATAAACTAAAAAGAATTCAGCTAGGTATTTAATGCAAGTGCTAACAGTTAAAATAATTCCACTAACTCAGACTAATCTTTGTCAAAAGAATGCCACAGAGATAACAAGAACATTCTTTAATGATACAAGAGTTCATCATTAGAAAGACAAAATGACTCTGCATTTGTTATCAGCAAAAACTGAAAAAAAAAATTTTAAATCTCTAGAAAGTAACAGATCAGAAAAAAAAGGAAGAAAGTGCCAAGAAAATGCTGAAAGAAATAAAGAAACAAATAAGCCAACCCCTTTTTCAAGAAATGGCAGCTCAACAGAAGACAAAAAATAAAATGGAAATTTTAAGTAGCTAAATTAATGAATTTGAGCTAACTAATACATTCCAATCATACAAATATGTTATCTAAGCTCTGATCACATTACAATTCAATGCCAAAAAATATAACCAGAAAATCCTCGAGGCACTTAGAAACTGTGATGAACTTTTAAACTCACAGATACAAAACAAACAAACTGAAAATGTAAAAATCACACTGAACATGGAGCAAACAATAATGGATGTAATGACATCTCAAAATTTACCGCTCCAGACGACATGGCCTGCAGGAAAGCAGCCCAAGTGCACATTTTAAAAGAACTAAAAATCAATTTTTTAAATGATCTACTTCAGTAAATCAGAAGAATAAATAGCAAGTTAATACCACAGAAAATAAAATACTAAACAGCAGAAACTAATCTACAATAGCAAAACTGAAGAGATTAGAAGTTAACTAATTAAAAAGCAAAGAAAACTGACAACTCCCTAGTAAAATGAATTTAAAAATAAGATTAAGCCGGGCAGTGGTGGCGCACACCTTTAATCCCAGCATTTGAGAGGCAGAGGCAGGCGGATTTCTGAATTTGAGGCCAGCCTGGTCTACAGAGTGAGTTCCAGGACAGCCAGGACTATACAGAGAAACTCTGTCTCAAAAAAAACCAAAATAAATAAATAAATAAATAAATAAATAAATAAATCTTGAAAAAAATAAGATTAAACAATGGTCGTATGAATCAGTAAGTGATCAATACAATACTAAGTTCTAAAAGTTATATGATGTGTATAAACATAACAAAACCGACACGTAATTTTTTAAAATCCATTGTAAAAATTAAATATACTATCTCAGTAACAGGCTCTAGGTCAGAAGGCTTCACCTGCAAAACCACAGAAGGATATAAGGAAAGATGGTAACCATTTCAGAAGCTTGCAGAAAACATTTAGGGAAAACTCTTTTTATGGGACCAGCAGAGCCAAGTCCCCCAAAGTCTGATGAAGGTATGAAAAGAAAATTACAAGCCAAGTTCTGTATCAAAAATAGATGAAAAAAAAAATAGCCGGGCAGTGATGGCGATGCCTTAAATTGCAGCACTCAGGAGGCAGAGGCAGGCAGATCTCTAAGTTTGAAGCCAGCCTCTTCTACAGAGTGAGTTCCAGGACAGCCAGGGCTACACAGAGAAACCCTGTCTCAAAAAATCCAAAACTAAAAAAGTAAATAAAATAAAATAAATGCACACATATTTTTTTAAAGCATACCAAATCCACTGATACATAAAAAGGATAATACACAAGATGGAATCACTTTATAAACCCACAGAATTAAGGTTAACAAGTCAAAGGGCCCAAGTGATGATACCTCTATCTCACTTGGGAGGGAGAAGAAAGCAATCACAGGGGTGGAGGGGGGGCAGGTGGAGGGAGGTATCTGGGTAGGAGAGGGAATGGGGAGGGGAAAAGGGGAACCTGATCAGGTATGGGTGGGGGGAGGAAAGGAAAACAGGACTGAAGCCCTGAGGGCCAGCAGAATGAATGGAAACAAGCAACCTCGGGAGGTGGGAGGTGGGAGGTGGGGGATGGTGGGAGGTGGGAGGTGGGAGGTGGGGGGACCCTCTAGAATGTACCAGAGACCTAGGAGGTGACAGACGCTTAGGGCTCAAAGGGAGGGACCTTAGATGAAATGTCCAACAGTGGGAAGAGGGAACTTGTAGAGTCTACCTCCAGTAGAAAGACAGAGCATCAAGTGAAGGGATGGGGTTGCCATCCCACAGTTAAAAACTCTGAACCAGAATTGTTCCTGTCAAAAAAAACTGCAGGGACAAAAATGGAGAAGAGACCAAGGGAAAGGAGGTTTTGTGACCAGCCCAAATTGTCATCGAGCTCAAAGGGAGGCTCCAGGGCCTGACACTATTACTGATTTCTGTTTTTAACAATTAGAAAGTGAAATGTATGCCGTTTAATTAACATAACCTCAAGAATACCATGCATCTAGTAAACCTGCTGAAAGATATGAAATCCTCTATAACTAAAAAAAAAGCTACAAACTTACAAAACCTTACATAAAAGGAGAAATATATCATGTCCATGGATTAGCTGACTCCTGTCTTAGAATTTCAATTAGTTAAAATCTTATCTCCTGTTTCAATGGAATCCTAGCCCAAATTTCTGATTTCTCTATTTCTTTTTTCTCTCTAGCATTCTCTCTCTCTCTCTCTCTCTCTCTCTCTCTCTCTCTCTCTGTGTGTGTGTGTGTGTGTGCGTGCGCACGCGCGTGTGTAAATGAGATTCTGAAGTGGTATGAAAACACAGGGAGAGGCAAGAACAGGAGCAGAAGACACACTACCAGGCACACTAAGATTCTTAGGGGATGACGTAGCATGAGATAGTATGACTTTGGCACAAGAAAGAAACAGACAGAAACAAAATATAGTACATATTAAAAAGTAAAGCATCATAGAAAATTCCAAGTAAAATGTTTTATTCACAACTTTAACCTATTTTCTGGTCAGCCATATCAACTGTAACAGCAAGCAAATTATCTCTCACCATTCGAAAACAATTAACAAACATATAAAATATCTCTTACCTCCCCAAAAGCTCCTCGACCAATCACCTTTAATATTTCAAAGTCTTCTCTATGTAATCGCATTTGCTTCACTTTAGAAGTGAACGGTTTAGCTGAAACAAAAGAGCAATCTCAGTTACTTTCCTAATGGAATGTAATACAAATCAGAAGTGCAATAGAGGACGGTTTCTTTTGGGCTTTTTGGTATGTTTTGTTTTTGTTTTAATTTTTGTTTCTTGGTTTTTATTTGTTTGTTTGGTTTGGTTTGGTTTTTCAAGACAGGGTTTCTCGGTAACAGCCCTGGCTGTCCTGGAACTCACTCTACATACTAGGCTGCTGCTGGCTTCAAATTAAGAGATCTAGCTGCCTTTGCCTTCCGAGTGCTAGGATTAAAGGCATGAGCCATCATCACCTAGCAGATAAGTATTTCTTACACATTAAAACTCAAAGTATAATAAAGAACATCAAAGCACCTTTAAAATCAAATCAAACTATAGAAGTATGAATGAATACCTATAAAAGGCAATGTTCCTTTACTTATTTACATAAATTACATTTTTGACACTTTTGTTTGTTTGTTTGAGACAGGGTCTTGGGCATGTAGCACATACTGGCCTGAAACTCACTGTGTAACCCAGACAAATCTGTAATTGTCCTGCCTCTACCTTTAGGAGTTTTAGGAGTGCTGGGATTATAGACATCCACTACCATTCATTCATTCTCTCTCCTCTCCTCTCCTCTCCTCTCCTCTCCTCTCCCCTCCCCTCCCCTCCCCTCCCCTCCCCTCCC